GTATTGTTATCGCCAGTGCAGCTGACAAGTGTGAGAATTATGGAGTATCTTCCTAACGTGAAAACGACCTTTGTTCAGATATGGTCTATTAGAAATGAAAGATGATTTTGAAAGGGCAAACAAATCTTCGTAAAATTTTGTGTGTTATAGGAGAAATGTTTCATTAAATCTAACTATACTAGCTGAAAGTTTTAAACTCGTCTGGAGTTAGAATTTCAATATCATTTACTTGATTCCACATACCCACTCCCGTAAACTTTTTTCGCATATGAAGAACGTGTATGTAGTGAAGGTGTAAGAATATGAAATGAAGGTGTCATAAGATGTGACAGATGGACTAAGAATCAGAAGATGAGCAGCAGAGTCTTCCTAATAACGACTAGAAATAGAAATAAAACTGCGGTTGCCAAACCGCTTGCGAAGCGTGGCAACTATGCCAAATCTCCCCCGTATGTAGCAATATATGGTCAGCAGTGGACTTACTTAAGCTGTAACGGTAGTAAGACAAACTCAAACATAGATTTGAAAATAAGTCAATTAATGAATGCAATAATCAATATGCTTTTTTGTTCTCCAATACACAAGGCAAACAATAAAGTTGTAATATGTACATAAAATAGCTAACAGGCACTTTTATCGTTCTGTAGTTTATTTCTTCCACAAAACTTTTTCATGCAAAGAACCGTAAACGATGAAAAATTAAGAAGAGGGACATTAAATGTAACACTGAAGGAATGAACATGATATGACCTGCCTGCGGGTGGGGAAACCATCGGTAGAAATCTTAAGAATATATGCTTATTGATTTAAGTAATTAAATCTAATCCGACTTTAATTTTGACAATATTACTATTAAATTACTTTTTTATAATGGTTTCTTATATGACCATGAATACTACACATGGTACAAAACTATTTTGACGAATTTTTTCGCGTTAAATTTAATTATTTTAAATTCCGCCGTTTCGGACATTTTACAGCACTCATAGTTAAGGGGAGGGGGGGAGGAACACCTCAGTGTTTGACGTCCTGATGTCATCTTTAGCGAGAATTGGTGGTCTTTCAAATCTTATATAATGGTTGGAACGATCCTAAACATGTTGAAATATTTTTTTATGAATAATTCAAATGTTAATAAAAATTTAAGTAACACATGCTCTGTGATGTTAGAGAATCGATCACCCGGTTTCACCCCTAGGGTGTGTATACGTGACGAATTTGAGTAGAGCAACACACAACACAATACCAGGCTTGGAGCCTGGAGATTTTTGGTCGGAAATTTTTTAAATTAAATAACACTTATAATTACACTTGCTTATACTTAATCCGTCCTCCACTGTATATATGGATACTACATTTAAAATTTGTAAGTGAAGCAATACATAGGCTGCACTAAAAGTATCGGGAATGGAATATTTCCACTTTTCCTGTCATATTAAAATCTTTTTAATTGCAGAGTCCTTGGTTTTAAAAATCGAATACCATTTATTTATTAAAAAAAGATTCTCGGTCTCGTCACAAGGTTTTGTCAAACTTGTTTAGTCGTGGAGAAAATGGAATTGACTCGACAAAATTCAAGAGCGATGATTTATTATAACTTTCGAAGTGATTTAACACAAAAACAGTGTGTTAACCGGATGATTTCCGCATTTGGTGATGAAGCCCCATCCAAAACCACAATTTATCGCTGGTTTGCTGAATTTTCAACGTGGACGTGTCAAGCTCAGTGATGATCCCCGTCAAGGTCGTTCAAAATCTGCAGTCACCCAAGAAAACGTTGATGCTGTGCGTAAGCTGATTGAAGAAGATCGACATGTGACATACCGCGAAATTCAGACAACTTTAGACATTAGCATGAGTCAAATACAAATAATCTTGCATGAACAATTAAGTGTAAAAAAGTTTTTTTCCCGATGGATACCGCATTTGCTCTGTGAAGAGCAAAAAGCGGCTCGCGTTCCTTGGTGTGTCAGAACTCTCGAAAAATTCCACGCAGGATCCTCAAATGCTGTATGCAACATCGTATCAGGTGACGAATCGTGGATATACGCGTACGAACCCGAAACAAAAAACCAGTCACGAGTTTGGGTGTTCGAAAATGAGTTAAAGCCAACAAAAATTGTTCGTTCACAGAGTGTTGCAAAAAAATGGTGGCCACTTTTGTCTCCAAAACCGGCCATGTTACGACTATTCCTCTTGAAGGACAAAGAACGGTTAATGCAGAATGGTATGCTAGCATTTGTTTGCCACAGGTCGTTTCTGAACTCCGTAAAGAGAACTGCAACCGCCGCATCATCCTCCATCACGAGAATACGAGTTCTCACACCGCACACAGAACAAAAGAGTTTTTAGAGCAAGTAAACATAGAATTATTAGACCATCCGCCGTACAGCCCCGACCTAAGCCCTAATGATTTCTATACTTTCCCTAAAATAAAGAATAAATTGCGTGAACAGAGATTTTCATTACCTGAAGAAGCTGTGGACGCCTACAAAACGGCCATTTTGGAGACCCCAACTTCCGAATGGAATGGTTGCTTCAATGATTGGTTCCATCGTATGGTAAAATGTGTTAAATTTCGCGGAGAATACTTCGAAAAGCAATAAATACATTTTTAAATAGTAATATTGTGTCAATTCCTTGATTCCGGAAATTTTCAGTGCCGCCTCGTAAGCGCCAGTGATACATTGAAAACATACAAGTTAACGCGAACCACGCGTCGGCTTCAATAAGCGTCACGCGTAAGCAATCAATAGATGATACTGATTTGTAATTCAATAGTCATGAAAGTGTATTTGTTTCTTTCAATATTTCTCCATTCACGGATAATCTAATATACATGGATGTACTTAACAAATGTATTTGTGGTTTTGCTATTTATTTATTTATTTTTTAATAAGGCTTACCAACTAAATACATGAAAGGAACTTATAACATCATGATTTAAAAAAAAATACATTATACATATGCATGGGCTATGCTCGGAGTTTCTCTGCGTGATAAACTTAGGAATGAGGATATCCGCAGTAGAACCAGAGTAACTGACATAGCCCAACGGATTAGTAAGCTGAAGTGGCATTGGACCGGCCATATAGCTTGAAGAACCGACAACCGATGGGGAAGAAAGGTTCTCGAGTGGCAGGCTCGTACCAATAGGCGAAGTGTAGGGCGACCCCCCACGAGATGGAGTGTCGACCTGGTAAGACATCAGGAAGTCAGGACCGTGCTTTGTGGTATTCCTTGGGGGAGGCCTATGTTCAGCAGTGGACTTATGAAAGGCTGTAATGATGATGATGAGGATACATATGCATTTAAATTAAAGGTATGCACAGCATTTTTTAATAATAAAAGACGTTTTTTTACATAATACATACATTTTTAACCCCTTTTAATATATCAATGAATACATATTAAATTTTTTAAACTTTTTTTAGTACAGACAAAAATATGAAAGAATTAGAAACCAAAACTAAAAGCACTAAAAATTAAAAATGGCTCTTGCAACAATCAAAAATCGATTTTTTTATTGTTGCAAGTTTTTCACAAAAGATATCTAAATTACAATTTTGAAATAAAAAGTTATATTTTTTTTACCAGTGTACAAATAGGAGAGGAACTACCATATTTCCTTCTTCTTAAGGACATTGAAAATGGTTTATAATTATGCAGACGAGCAGTAACTAACTATCTATAATATAAAAATAAATCGCTGAATGTGTTGCTAAGCGCAAATCTCGAGAGCAGCTGAACCGATTTCGCTAATTCTTTTTTTACAATATTCCTGAAGTACGAAGATGGTTCTTATGGAGAGAAATTGCCTGAAAAAGTCTAAAAACAACACTTTTCTATATTCACATACAAAAGATTCGTAATAATACTGTTACGAGCTTGAGGTTTGATACAATTAAAAACTGCCGATTGAATTACCAAATTTGATACTTTAATTACGGATACTAATTACACCTTAAAACACACTAATAATAAAACACAATAATTCTACTGATCACTTAAGTTCGCAGTTGTTTCGCTTCGAAGTATTCTCTTGTATCGCCTATTCAATACTGCCCCGGTCGTGGTCTATCCGGTATAGACCACGACCGGGGCAGTATTGAATTATATACGGCCTTATATACGGCCTCAGATAGTTTCCAGAACCTTCTACTGTAGCGACATCTAGAATGTTCGAGTACATATCGATCCCGAAATTTCTGGAAGGATCTCGACTCTCCTAGTTTTGCTACTCGACACTAGAGGACGCTAGTGTAACTAGTGTTGCCATGTACAAGACATTAATAGTGGTGCGCAACACTTTCTTTCACTCGACACTAGAGGGCGCTAGTGTAACTAGTGTTGCCATGTACAAGACATTAATAGTGGCGCGCAACACTGCCCCCTCCTAAGACATGCTCGTCCCGAGCATTATTAGCCCCATAATAACGCGCCAGTCGATCCACATGGACAATCTTAGGAGTACCTCTGGCACCTTTCTGTATCCGGTAGGTTACGTCATTGATCCTTGTCACAATCCGGTACAGTCCGTCCCATTTAGCTTGAAGCTTAGGAGATATCCCTTTGCTGCGAACTGGATTGTGTAACCACACTAGTGAACCTTCATCAAACCCCTTGTTGTTCATTTTGCGGTCATACCGTGTTTTCATCTTCTCAGACGTTTGCTGGCCCGTCTGTCTGACTTGCTCATAAATGTCATTCATTTTGTTCCGCAAGTCATTTGCATATACGGTTATACTGCGAGGTGCATCAGGTGGTATTCCAGTGATCAGGTCTGCAGGCAGCCGCAATTCTCTCCCAAAGTTTGCAAAAGCTGGTGTCACTGATGTACTTTCGTGAAGAGCGCTTCGATATGAAAACAAAAACGGTTGTATGTGCCTGTCTCAGTCTCGTTGCCGTTTTTCCACAACATTTGCTAGGTACCTCTCCAATGTCTGATTAAATCTTTCTATCATTCCATCAGATTGTGGGTGGTAAGAAGTTGTTCCTGTTTACTGAGTACCCACAACTCGGCAAGTTTCCTGGAACATTTGAGACTCAAAATTCCTTCCTTGATCGCTGTGAATCTCTAAAGGTACTCCAAAATGACAGAAGACTTCATGAACTAGTTTATCTGCAACTGTTGAAGCTTCTTGATTTGGAATGGCGAAGACTTCTGGCCACTTAGTGAAGTAATCCATCACAACTATGAAATACTTGTTACCACTTTCAGTTTCTGGAAACAGCCCCGCAACGTCAATGGCTATCCTCCCCCATGGTGCACCAACATTGTACAATTTCAATGCGCCTCTACTACGAATTTGAGGTCCCTTTACAGCCTCACAACTTGTACATTTGCGGCACCAGTCCTCGACATCGTCACGACAGTGGACCCAGTAAAACCGTTCTCGGATCTTCAGGAGAGTTCGTTTAACTCCCAGGTGGCCTCCTGAACAACCACTATGGTACAGCTGTAGAACATCCGGCACTTTAGCCTTAGGGACAACCATTTGCAAATGACACCTGTCTGCTCGACCATTTCCCCATTTACGTCACAGGACTCCATCCTGAATCAGCAAGCTGTCCCATTAGGCCCAATAGCTTTTCATGGTCGAGCTCATTGCTGAGACGTCGCTCCACTTGGGTTTAGGAGCACTGGCCTTCATCCATTCCAGAATCGGCTTAATGTCCGAATCTTCCTGCTGTGCATGTTGTAGGCTGTCCTTCCATTCATTGCTGAGCTGGTCTGTCCTGAATATCCTCGCAGATACCACTTCTTTACCCTCTTGCCTAGTACAATGCTTGTAATCTTCAGGGCAAGGTCTTCTTGATAATGCATCTGCATTGACATGAGATTTCCCGCTGCGATGTTCGATCACAAATTCGTATTCTTGTAGTAGTTCAATCCATCTCGCAACTTGTCGTTCCGGATATTTGAACTGCAATAGCCATTTCAGTGCAGCATGGTCAGTTCCTAAGTAGAATTTCCGCCCCAGGAGATATTTACTAAAATGCTGCAAGGACTTTACCACAGCAAGCAATTCCCGTCTTGTGACACAATAGTTCCTTTCCGGCTTTGACAACGACTTGCTTAAGTACGCTATCGCAATCTCTTGATCACCATTCCGTTGAGACAACACACCGCCAAGTCCTATATCACTTGCGTCTGTGTCAACTATGAATTCCTTGCCCGCATCAGGGTACCCAAAAATAGGTGTTTTGCACAGACGGTTCTTGAGCTCCTGGAATGCAATATCGCAACTTTCATCCCAGCAGAAATGTCGCTTCTCCTCGGTTAGCTTGTGCAGAGGTTTGGCTATATCTGCAAAGTTCTTCACAAATCGCCGATAATAAGAGCACAAACCCAAAAATGCTCTAACCTGTGTCTTGTCTTTTGGAACCGGCCACTCCTTGACAGCGGCAATTTTCTCTGGATCCGTGCGGATACCTTCTTCCGACACTACATACCCCAAAAAACTAACTTGCCGTTTGAATAGTAAACACTTCTTCGGACTCAACTTGAGGTTGGCACTCTGGATCTTCATGAGCACGTGTTCCAGGTTTTGAAGGTGTTGCTCAAACGTACGGCCTACCATGATGATGTCATCCAAATAGACCAGACAGGCATCTCCGATTAGCCCGGTAAGTACAAGCTCCATTAACCTTTCAAACGTTGCTGGATCATTGCACAATCCAAACGGCATGACTTTAAATTGCCACAGACTCTTTCCTGTAGAGAATGAAGTTTTCTCCTTGTCCTTAGGGTCAATTTCAACCTGCCAGTAGCCACTTTTCAAGTCCAGCGTACTTAACCACTTTACGCCTGTAAGCATGTCCAGCGTGTCATCAATTCTTGGCAAGGGATAACTGTCCTTTTTCATAACGTCCTTCAGGCGGCGGTAGTCAACACAAACCGCATGCTGCCGTCCTTCTTCTTTACCAGCACCACAGGTGAACACCGTGGACTAGATGAAGGTTCAATAACACCATCCTTCACCATTCCCTCAATCATGGTTTCCACTTTCTTTTCACGTGCTACAGGCAATCTTCTTGGCCGCTGACGAATAGGTAATTCTTGTCCTGTGTTTATTTTGTGTTGAACTAAGCCAGTCTTTCCTATGTCAGCTTCGTTTGATGAGAAAACATTGGCGTACTTGAGTAACAACTTCTTCGCCTTGACCATTTCATTCGGGGAGAGAACGCTGCGACAGTCTTCTAAAAGTGGGGTCACCCTCGTTTGTCCATCCTTGCTGGGGGTCCCAGTCGATAGATATTCGCACCGACGCAACCAATCCACTTCCTCACTAGTACCAACCAATGTGCCTTTTTCTATAATCTGTTCCTGATCACAAAGGTTCTACACACGTACTCCTGAGATGTCGGTGGTTCTGACCAAGGTTCGAGCCACTTTCCATGGAAGGTCATTATCTACCCTTTCCACGAGTACACAACGATGAGCTTGCCCAGGACTCCGAGGAAGACTAACCGGCACAGTCGTTTCCGATCTCGGCGGAAGAATAATCTTCTTAAGGCTGTACACATTCTCTGGTAACGCCCTTTCCACGAAAAGTTCCTCTTGTTCACATTTCAAAACACCTTGCTTAACGTCGATCTCACAACAATTCTTCCTCATAAAGTCTCGGCCCAGGATGCAGTCGTCCATTATATCAGCCACGATGACATTATGCAGGTAGATCATGTTGCATAGCTTCAACTCCATCTTCTTCTACTCCACGGACGGGTATGCACTGACCGGTGGCTGTCACCAAATTAATGCGTTCGCGGTTGTATGTGGAGTCCCCAAGAAACTGATTTATAAGTTGGGAACTGACAACCGTGCGAGAGGCTCCAGTGTCTATGGTCAGTTTACACGGCTTTCCGTTGACATCGCCCTTGATGATCAGGCTGTTTCCATCACGGGTTTGTGAGATCGAAATCCTTGGGGCTCTTTTAACATCAGCCAGCACCCGCCAGTTTCCCTGCTGTATGCAAAATTATGTACATTTATAATATTAACTACACATGCCATATAATAAGAAAGATGGTTGTGTAAGGATAAAAACAAATGTGATAACAAAATGTGATAAACATTGTCGATAATATTACTAGATGACCAATTTGGTGAGGTAATGTTTCGCATCAAGTATAAAAATTTATTGCATGTAATGTATCCAGATCTGAGTCTTAATGCCGTTACAGTGTCGCGTCTACACAATAGTCTGTTATCTATCCAAATTGATTGCATTGGGTGCGGCTGGATCGTACGGTACCATATACCCTTCTCTTTTGATCTTTCGTCAAAATATTCTTTCCAGAGATCATCACAATATTTTTTAATAAATGGTTGGACGCATGTGGTTGGTGCATGGTTTTTCAATTTATCCTGTGTACTTGTGTGCCTATGCCTATGTTACCTGTTACCTTTAAGATTAAGAAAACGGTCGCTTAGTTAATTTTAATAACAGTTGTTACGTAATTTCCAAACATTTAATTATTTTATATTAGACACTTCAATATAATGAATAGCCGTCTTTTTAAGTCCTCAGTATTTTAATGTAGTTATTCAAGGTATCATAAGTCTCTTACGTCGTTTATCACATAAATAATTACACGGCAAACTCACTTTAAAGAAATTGTGGTTAACTTAAAAATATCTGATCATCCCTTAAATTTTATACGTGGTAGAGCCATACTGCAGCTATATTTTAGTATAGTTGTGGCACGAATGGGTCGGCTCGACCGGAGAAGGACCACGCTCTCACAGAATACCAGCGTCAAATACCAGCTTCATGCTGCTGAGTTTGTATGGTGAGTGTAGAGAACCGGAGACCCTTTTTACTGGAAAAGAGGCAATCTATCTTAGTCCTTACGAGTGACAACGCATCTGCATTTCGATTCGCAAACGAGGATAAATGTAGATGTCTATGGGCCACAGCAACCACTTACCGTCAGGTAGACTGTGTGCTCGTTTGTCACCCTATCCTATAAAAAAAAGTCCTTGTGAAAATGGAAAATATGTCCTTGTAGTAATTTTATTTGTTTAGTAATTTTAACTTGACCGGCGGAAATTTGCTGCTCCTGTATTATTGTTTAAATAATGGCTTGAAGTAGATTTTGATATGTAAAAGTAGTGCCATTTTGTGTATTAAATGTCTGCGCATGTGAACTATTAGTGAAAACGGTTAAACAAGTGCTCTGATGTTGATGTGAATCTCAAGATAAGGTGTCTGTCTACATAGGCACCTTAGGACACCATCGCCAACTATAAGCTGTCTGCTGGCTCAAGTGCCGTCAAAATCTCCCAAGGGCTGTACAATGTGATGCATCAACATATTGTGAAACGATGTAATATGAAGGATAATTATACATTGTAACTCCAGGCTCAGAAGGGCTAGAACCCAGAGCCGTGAAGCCACTTATAAAAAAGTGTAGCTATATTAAATTAAATTTTATCGTACTCCCTTTTCTTTATGTTATGTGTTATCAGTTCGTTTAAATGGCAAAGAAAGTTTAACTTTACAGTGTTTACGTAAATATAACTTACTACGAAACGAGGTCATATTACTTATCCACCACTTATTTTCTAAAAGAGACTAGAGTATCATACAGAATATGAATAAAAAAAATGAAAAAGGTTTACATATAAAGTTATTTGAATAAAATCGGATGATAAATTATAAAGATCCGATTTTTTTTTGTTTTATAAAAAATATGTCTTTCTTCGAAATAGCTTTTTGGTGTGTTATTTATTTATTTAACAACTACAGATAATACAGAGAATATATTATGGTACAACATAAGCTTAAAGAAAACTTTACCGTGTACCACAAGCCGCCGACTTATAATTTGACAGATAATTTACACCTTAATCTACATAATAAAAAATGTATAACGCAACACTAATAAACAGCAATTGGCAGTCAACAGGCGGTAAATCGGCAATACGTAATTAACTAATAGTGCATTTAAAAGACGTGAGTCTTGCCACCGCCCACTTCGTCGCGTCAAAAACCGGTTGTTCCTGCGTCGCGTATACAGAAGGTGATAAAAATATATTGATAATAATTGTGATAATATTTAATAGTAGACGAGTATAATAATAGGAAGAAAGGTTCTCGAGTGGCAGCCTCGTACCGGCAGGCGAAGTGTAGGGCGTCCCCCCACTAGATGGAGTGACGACCTGGTAAGGTATGCAGGAAGTCGATGGATGCAGGTGGCTCAGGACCGTGCTTTGTGGCATTCTTTGGGGGAGGCCTATGTTCAGCAGTGGACTTGTGAAGGGCTGTAAGAAAAATAATAATAATTATTTGTTTATATGTCATATAGGTTTATTTATGTAGGGAATATAGTTAGTGGGGATTATAGTTTTTTTTTTATTTAGTTTGAAGTTTGATATAGACAGTTCGTATAATAGTTTTTTAATTTGTATTTAATATTTTTATTATTAATTTCATTTTGAAAAAAGGTAGGTAACTGATTAATCAAATTTGGAACCATGTATCCTAAAGTA